TGAGAACGATTCCCTAAAGCCAATAATGAAAACATAAAACCTAAGTTGGATGAAGGCAAAAGCTGTTACCGGTAAGCTTCTGTAGCAGAATCACCAACAAAAAAGCAGGATTTATAACATAATGTTATTTACCTCTGTGTTCAAAGTAACTATTGTCGAATAATAGCAGTTCGTTTTTTGTGTGGTCAGTGTTGTGCTAGTATCGCGGTTTACTCTGCATGCAAAACTTTCCACCATTATTCGCGTTGTTAGCTTTTCCTGCTGCGTCACATGCGCCTACAATAAAACAACGGTCAAGAAATTTTCTAGTGGGTATGGGCGGGGCGGAGTGCAGGTGTCGTCATGACTCGTAATGAATGGCAACACGAGCTTTCACCTGAATTTCTCCATCCCCTCTCAAGCAGGGCCTGAAGTCCCTGGGACCAAAACTTTGAGTCCTGAGGTGCTCAAATTCTGGCCCTGATTTTCACGGGCGCAGGCCAAAATCAAGGCTTAAAATCCGGGCTTCTAAAGAAAGTAACTTTTCCCTAATGTCCAAAGGAGGATGTGCCTTCTACTTAGCAGAGGGAAGGTGCATACTCAGCGCTCAACAATCTTACATCCTCTACATCGTAGGCAAAAAAAATGGGAGGAGGGAAGGGGTTCGTAGGCATAGTCATGGAGGGGGTGGGGGGGCAGCAGCGGGATGGGGGGTGGGGGGGTGTGCTCAACACAGAAACCAAAACTTGGATTCAGGGGAAGGCCCAAACAAGGCCCTTAACTGTCACGGGTGCCATGCCGTTCTAGCACTTTAAACGGTCGAGCTGCTCCAAGCGTAACCCGGAATGTTCAGGGCATTAAGGCCAAATGGCCTTTCTTCTCCAGCCCTGCTCTCAAGTTCCCATCATCTGACACTAGCGTGACCTGAACTTGTCCATCTGAAGTTACCTTCCCATCCCATGATCTCACACTGCAGAGTTCCCAGAGATGTGAATTTTGTACCGCATTATCCACGATCTCTGCGGTGTGGAACTCGGAAAAGCGTTTGTTTTTTGTACGACGGGAAATACTGACGAGGTGGGGGTTTGGCGCGGATGGCGCGCGTACACGTACACGATGTCGAACATGTTAGACGCACTATCATGGTCTCCAAGGCCTTTCCTGCCAGGTACCCCGCCAAATGCACTTGCCTGAATCTCGCAGCGCATTCTCATTGTTTTTTTCGGAGCACGTAAAGTCGAACACGATGCCTAAAAAACGTTTCCTAGAACCGCTGCTAAACAGTCAGCACCGCACTGGGAAACTGGTAATCTCCTCCAAGTCGTATGGAGCCACCACCTGGTCCACCGCGTCCGAGTCGGCTTTCCTTGCCGGTAAGGAACGAAATGAATGATAGATAAGATTCCATCAGCTGGTGATCAGAGTATATATCAATCTGTTTCTTTCGCTACCACATCACGCAATCAGATTTCGTTCGTTCTCTGGTCTCTCCAAATCCATTTAGAACCTAGGGAAATCAGTCCACTATGGGGCTCCACCGTTACCCTGGCTTGTCAATCTTTCTCTTAGTCGTCGGAGCGTGCTTAGTTGAGTGACTGTTGCATCTCTACCTGTGCTACGGTCGACAGAAGTTGTAAATTTCTAAGAAAAAACTCAGTGAGACGCTTCAAATCCATGCATTTGATTTGACTTTTTTTCATGTTCTCATTCGGTATTCCCCTTCGTTTATTTTCTACCATCGGTTAAGCAGCGATTACGACGGCACGCCCAGCTAAGAACCGGAATGACAAGAACGGCGGGAAACGGGAACCTCCGGACGCCGGGCCGTGCCCGCTGCCCACGTCAAACGAGGATGAGGCTATGTGTGAGAACGCTTTGGAAAATCTGAAGGGTTGAGAGAACAACTGAAATATCTGACGGTTGAACCCCCCTGGCACTTGGCCGCAGTGTGTCCTTACCCGCATGGACAAGATTAGCACGCATTTCACAATTAAGAATGTTCCTCTTTACTCCCCACTTCTTCTCTTCTCGCGCATCTCCTGTCTCCACACCTTGATTCCCCCATCCACTCCTCTCGGTATCTCCTTGCAGTAATTGTCGTCGCTCGGTTGAAAGGATCCGAAGTGGTTGGGGCCGCCGGCGACGCCAACGCCACCGGCCGAATCTGCCTCGCTCTCTTGTGGTGCGCCCACCTGGTATTCGGTGCCCTCTGCTCCTCTGTGCCCCCACCTGCTCCTCTGTGCCCCCACCTGCTCCTCTGTGCCGCCTTCCGCCTTCCAGTTGACCGGACTCAACTGTTGCTTTGCAGATTCAACGTGCCCAAACTCAACTCATAACTACTTCACCTCGTTCCCAACTCGAAATCAGAACTTTTGGAAATCAAGCCCTGCTTGTTTTACTTTTGAGACGTCTCAAAACTGGAAATCAAGCCCTGCTTGTTTTACATCATCTCCATTACTCGACTGTGTCTCATTATATCTCCCGTTCTCCATTTCTCCCATCTTCTCGCTTGTGTGAATCCTGACGGAAACCGCCAGGCAAGACTACGACTTCAACATCTCCTACAGTGTCGTCGTCTCCACCTCATCACCTCCAGTTCTCCATTCCTCCCTTCTGCTTGCTTGCCTGAACTTTGACGGAATCCGTCAGGCAAGGCCGCGACTTCAACATCTTCTACAGTGTCGTCGTCTCCACCTCCGATCCCGGCGAGCCATCCAGCGTTTCCATCTGGCAAGGCGCGGCGGGAAATGAGGGAACCGCCGTTTACAACATTGTCGAGGCAGGAGCAACCGCCAGGTGTGGCTCGTCAACATTTCAGAGAATCCGCCTGCGTACTACGCATCATTCGCGACGGCTGCTTATGAATCGGCAGCAGCGAGGGGGCAGCTTCAGGAGGAGCCGCTTCCACCACCACCAAAGGATAACAAGGGCGAGAAGAATGGAGGGTCGGATGGCGATGGCGGTGAGTGTTAGTTGCATCTCTACTTGTGGTTTTGTTGACAGCATCCGTAAAATCCCATGCTAATATTCTCATTCGTCATTTCCTAAGTCTTTTTCCGGTTGCTTCTTTTCGCCCCTCAACTGTGCAGAGAGCACGACACCGCGCCCTGTGAAGAATGGGATCCACAAAAACCGATGGAAAGGGGGACCCCCGGACTCCGGGCCATGCCCGCTGCCCACACCAAAGGAGGCTAAGGCTCTCGGCAATCTGACGGGTGAGAACGACTTGGGCAATCTGACGGGTGAGAACGACTTGGGCAATCTGACGGGTGAGAACGACTTGGGCAATCTGACGGGTGAGAACGACTTGGGCAATCTGACTGGTGAGAATGACTTGGGCAATCCGACGGGTGAGAATGACTTGGGCAATCTGACTGGTGAGAATGACTTGGGCAATCTGACGGGTGAGAACGACTTGGGCAATCTGACGGGTGAGAACGACTTGGGCAATCCGACTGGTGAGAATGACTTGGGCAATCCGACGGGTGAGAATGACTTGGGCAATCTGACGGGTGAGAATGACTTGGGCAATCTGACTGGTGAGAATGACTTGGGCAATCCGACGGGTGAGAATGACTTGGGCAATCTGATGGGTGAGAATGACTTGGGCAATCTGACGGGTGAGAATGACTTGGGCAATCTGACGGGTGAGAATGACTTGGGCAATCTGACGGGTGAGAATGACTTGGGCAATCTGACAGGTGAGAATGACTTGGGCAATCTGACGGGTGAGAATGACTTGGACAATCTGACGGGTGAGAATGACTTGGGCAATCTGACGGGTGAGAATGACTTGGGCAATCTGACGGGTGAGAATGACTTGGGCAATCTGACGGGTGAGAATGACTTGGACAATCTGACGGGTGAGAATGACTTGGGCAGTCTGACGGGTGAGAATGACTTGGGCAATCTGACGGGTGAGAACGATTTGGAAAATCTGTTTGGTTGAGAGAACAGCTGCATATCTTGTCCCCCGTGCTTGGCTGGTAGCACACGTCTCTCACTATCGAGACCGTTGCCCAACTTCTCGCTTCTTACCTTCTCGCCCATCTCCTATGCTTACACTTTCGATTCCCCCCATTCACTCCCCTCGCAGTCTCTGCTCAGCCATTCTAAACGCGTGGCTGAAGGGATCCCAAGTGGTTGGGGCCACCGGCAACGTGTTTTGAGTCGACTCAATGCATTCCCCCCATTCACTCCCCTCCCCTCGGTATCTCCGTGCAGCCATTCTCGCCGCATGGCTGAATGGATCCCAAGTGGTTGGGGCCCCCGATGACGTCGAACCCACCGGCCGAATTTGTCTCGCCGTCTTCGAGTAAGCCAACCGCCCGTGGTGCGGCCACTTGCTCCCCTGTGCTAATTGGTTCCCCTTTTTTTTCATCTATTTTTTTCTCAAAATTGCATTCTCAAACTGCTCACACTCAACTCAAAGTATCTTATCACACCATGCTTGCCGTCATCATCTCAATGGGTTCAAATTCATCTTCCCTATGGCTTCTAATCTTCTTGAGCAAGGCACTCTCAGTTCCGCCCTTGCGCTCGCTTGTGTGAACCGTGACGGAAACCATCAGGTTAGATGGCGATCACAACATCTTTTACAGTGTCGGCCTTTCCACCTCCGTGAGCTCCGCGCCGTAGGGCGTTTCGATCTATCAAGGCGCGGTGACGGGAGAGGTGGGATACCTCGTTCATCGCTTCGCCGAGCAAGTAGACTATACCACCACGTGGACGAACCTTACTCGTCCGCCGCCTTCCCCGCCGAAGGGCAAAAAAAACAAGCGCGCACCCGCACGGCCTCAGAAATACACTTATGTCATTGACGGGATGTGGCTTAAAGAGAGTACGCTGGAAGCGTTCCGCGAGCAGACGACACTAAAAGAGCTGGTGGGATGTGATTATAGCGAAGCCGGGTGATTACTACGGGACCTTCTCGTCGAATTCTTATGATTCGTCGACCATGAGGGGGCTGTTTAAGTCGGACCCGCTTCCACCGCCGCCCAAGGATAACAAGGGCGGGAAGAATGGCGGGACGGGTGTGGGCAATTGAGGGAAGAATGGAGGGACGGGTGTGGGCAATGGAGGAAAGAATGGAGGGACGGGTGGGGGCAATGGAGGGAAGAATGGAGGGACGGGTGGGGGCAATGGAGGGAAGAATGGAGGGACGGGTGGGGGCAATGGAGGGAAGAATGGGTGGACGGATGGTGGCAGTGGAGGGAAGAATGAAGGGACGGGTGGGGATGACTTTTAAGTCGACTCAAAAGTCGTTCTCTTTCTCTCCTTGATTTTGTGCAGGTGTGCTGGAAGCTGTTATCAACGGCTCCAATGCTGACCTCACTGTGACTCATTGTACCGAGTTGACTTTTAAGTCGACTCAAAAGTCGTTCTCTTTCTCTCCTTGATTTTGTGCAGGTGCGCTGGAAGCTGTTATCAACGGCTTCAATGCTGACCTCACTGCTGACGTCAACGCCACAGGCTGAATTTCCCTCTCCATCTTCCAGTACGCTTGCCCTGCATTTCCTCGCTTCTTTCCCTTCTCACTTCTCACTTCTCACCTCAAACTCCTCTCTGAGTCTCCCCTCAGTTCGCTCCTCACTCTCTTCACCTCCCCTCGACGGCTTCCTGTAAGCTGCCCCATCATTCCCTTTTTTCTAACTCGCTTCTTCCCTCACTCTCTCCAACTCCCCTCTATTCTCGTACTTTTTGTTCTTATTTCTCTCCATTCACTCCTCAATCTTTCCATGGCTAAACACCCGCCCCTCCCTGCCCATCCCTGCCCATCCCTGCCCATCCCTGCCCATCCCTGCCCATCCCTGCCCATCCCTGCCCCTCCCTGCCCCTCCTTGCCTCTCCCTGCCTCTCCCTGCCTCTCCCTACCGCTCCTTGCCGCTCACCCCCTCAGCAACCCCACAACTAACGACTACGATGTTAGTTTCTATGTCTACGTGTCTCTAACCGACTCTTGCGAGCCCACCAGCCTTGTCATCAAGAAAGGCGCTGACGTGACAGCCACCGTGGCCAGCAGCAGCACCCGGTGGACCAATCGCGAGTCCGAAAGCACCGGGCTTGACAAGGAGCTGCCTCCCCCGTCCCCCCCTCCCAGCTACACTTACGAAACCAACGGCGCTTGGCGAAGCGTCAGTACTTTGACAGCGGATAACGGGCAGACGTATAAGGAGCTGGTGGGTGACATGCTGGCTGCTCCTGACGTGTACTCTGCTCTCGACTACACCAAGACGTTTGAGAACGGTGCGGCGAGTGGTGCTTTCTTCTACATCAACAAGGGTGGTGGTGAATAGTTTTGCAAATTGGCTATTTAAGCGTGGTAACAAGAGAGCACAGAGGATCCGTACTCGTACACATCCTCAAGCAGTAGTACCCGTCAGAATCCCAACCACTAGACCATTGGGATAAAAATACTTGTTAAGTAGCGGGTAATTGCGCCCATAACCTCCCAGGACAACGAGTCTGCAACCCTTCCCTATGATCAATCAGGCATCACCAATGGACCTCTGACACCCCTCCGTACTGGGATGTCCGAAGTGCACACACTGTGATTCGAACTCGAAATCTTCGCTCTGATACCATGTCAGAATCCCAACCACTAGACAATTGGGATAAAATGGCTTGTTAAGTAGTGGGTCAGTGCGCACATAACCCCCCTCAGGACAACGAGCCTGTAACCCTTCTCTATAATCAATCGGGGATCACCACTGGATCTCTGACAGTACCATGTGGTCCTCATTGCGGATGGGGCTACAGTAGTACCACATGGTCCTCATTGCGGACGGGGCTACATTAACAGTTTCATAATACAGTAAGAGAGGGAAGGCGCGAGCGGGTATTGAAGCGGCACACCCCGAGGCTCCAGCGGACCCTTAGCCTCTACAGCTAGGGGACCTCCTCCACATGTTGGAGTAAAGGCTAGGTGCTAGGAGGCATGTAGATGAACAGAGGTGTGTATTTGCATGTTCAACATTCTGCCATTTGTTGATTGTCAACATTCAGTGCGCACATAACCCCCCTTAGGACAACGAGCCTGTAACCCTTCTCTATAATCAATCGGGGATCACCACTGGATCTCTGACAGTACCATGTGGTCCTCATTGCGGATGGGGCTACAGTAGTACCACATGGTCCTCATTGCGGACGGGGCTACATTAACAGTTTCATAATACAGTAAGAGAGGGAAGGCGCGAGCGGGTATTGAAGCGGCACACCCCGAGGCTCCAGCGGACCCTTAGCCTCTACAGCTAGGGGACCTCCTCCACATGTTGGAGTAAAGGCTAGGTGCTAGGAGGCATGTAGATGAACAGAGGTGTGTATTTGCATGTTCAACATTCTGCCATTTGTTGATTGTCAGAAGAATTAACGAGAATGAATGAACTATGAAAGAGTACAAGTATTATCCCTAATTGGGTTGTACCCATTATGGGCTACCCCACTATAGCCTACATAAATGTTACCGTATGGCCCCGGATATAATCGCCGTCCGATTAAAGGCGCCGGCGCTTCTATCTGGAGCATGGCGCTTATGGCCGGAATTCGATTATAAGCGCCCCCCCTGTAAAACACTGACATATTATAAGCGCATGCAAATTTTATTCTTCAATGCTGATTAAAACGGTAACGAAATTCAAAATTTCTAGCGAGTCAGCACCCCAATTTTCACTTTGTTTAACTTTCGAGGACCTACTGGTTGCGCGCCCAGTCAGCATGAGTTGGCACGCGGGCAAAATGACGTGCCAAAGCTCTGTGCACCGTCAGAAAATCGCCCTCGCGCGATTCTGATTATGGACCCTGTAAAATTCCGATTCGATTCAACTTACGAGACTGAAATGTACAATTTGGTGCGTTTAAGTTGTATTTCTGTATTTGTCGTTATATAAGCGCCGGCGCTTATGGCCGATATTCAATTACAAGCGCCCCCCTTCAAAAAACTGTTTTTATTATAAGCGCATATGCGCTACTATCTGGGGTAATACGGTAGCACTATAACATTCTGACACACCCCCATAGGCAAAGTGGGGGAGAACAAGTGGTCACAAGACCAGTCAAGAAAAACAAAGCAAGCTCAGGGTGGATCACAAAGTCACCACACAGTCTAAGCACAAGCAAAGGGCCACAAGGTCAGTTCACATGCAGTGTTATATAAAAGAGAACAAACAAGTCAGTGATCATACCCTAGCAAGTGCAAGCATGCAAGTATATATATAGTTCACAGTACAAGCAAAATCAAGCAGTGAGCAAGTGAGGCAAAGTAGGCACAAGGCCTAACATAGTAGAGAAGCGCTGATGATCACCAGGCAGAAGTGCCTTAGTGAATATATCAACAGTGTTGGCCCTAGTGGCCACGTACGCAAGACGAAGCTGGCCACGCTGCTGCAACTCTCGAGCAAAGAAGTATCGCAGAGTGATGTGCTTCGTTCTGTGCTGCAGTCTGTGCTCCTGACACAAGGCGATCATGGCCTTGTTGTCTACGTACAGAACTGGAGGCGAACGAGGCTGCTCTCCCAAGTCAGTCAGCAGGTAGGTGAGCCAGCGTAACTCCTGTGCAGCCATGGCCCCAGCGTAGATCTCAGCCTCACAACTGGAGCTGAGAACCGAAGACGAGCGGGTAGACCGCCAGGATACAGAGCCGGAGCCAAGGCTGAAAGTGTAACCCTGTGACGACCGCTGCGTAGCTGAGTTGTCAACCCAAGAAGCGTCTGCGTGACCGGTGAGGACAACTGCACAGCGTCCTCCAAGCACGAGCCCCATGCCCGACGTACTGCATAAGTAACGCAGTACCCTCTTTGCAGCATCCCAGTGCACCTTTCGGTGCCTACCGAGAGCCACGTAGCGAGTCAAGAGGCTGAGAGGGTACGCGAGGTCAGGTCGTGTGCACGTCATCAGGTACATGAGGCAACCCACAAGCTCTGGGTACGGACCACTCGGCTCTACGGACTCGTCCGAATGTGGAGCTGAGAGCGAGTGGCCAGTAGACAGAGGAGTGGGCTGTGGCGAGGAGAACTGGAAGCCGAAGCGCTGAAGGACCTGCTGCACCATGCGTGACTGAGTTAGTGTGATGGTGCGCCGTGCTCTATCCCGGGTGATCTGCAAGCCAAGATAGCTGCGCAGTTCACCCAAGTCAGTGCAGGTGTGTCTCTTCTGCAGCTCCGACTTCACAAGGGTTAGTGCCTCAGTGTCAGCAGTGGCAAAGACGAGGTTGTCGACGTATACTAGGACGTAGAACGGCGGCAGAGACATGTCGGTGCATAGAAACAGCGACGGGTCAGCAGTAGAAGGAGTAAACCCCAGAGCCGCAAGTGTAGTCCTCAGTGTTTCGTGCCACTCGCGAGGTGCTTGGCGGAGACCGTAGACTGGCCGCTGAAGGCTCCACATGGTATACCTACAGGAAACGACCCAGTGAAGCCAGGTGGGCGGCGCAACCAGATCTCCTCGTGCAGGCTGCCCTGCAAGAAAGTTGTGCTGAAGTCAAGAGAGTGCAGCTCGTAGTCACGCTGAGGAGCGACGTGCAGCAACACCCAAAGAGTGGTCATCTTCGGGGTGGGGGAGAAGGTCTGGAATTAGTCAACCCCCTGTCGCTGATTGAAGCCTCGAGCAGCGTAACGCGCCTTGAAGGCAGGCGGAGAATTCGGCGGCCGCTTCACCCTGAAAATCCACATGCCATCGACTATGTTCACCCGAGACGGGGGAACTGCGTCGACGTAGGTGCCTGTGGACTTCCAGGATGCCATCTCAGCATCCATGGCTGTCTGCCACTGAGAGGAGTAAGGACCCGTAATCGCCTCTGCGTAAGAGCGCGGGGTCGGGATGTCTGGTGCATCCGGGTCTCCCTCAGGGGCAAGCAGCATGGAAGCGAAACGAGGTACAGCAGTTGCAAGACACTCAAAGTCCTCCAGCCTGTCCTCAAGGACTTCCGTGCCAAGAGCACACTCACCCCCGACGGATGGAGGACTGGCAGACTCAGACTCAGCAACAAGAGCAGTGGCGAAGTCGAGACGACAGGCAGCAGCAAAGTCAAGCAGCTCAGCAACGAGGGCAGACGCAGCAACGGACTCAAAAGAAGGGTCAATGACAACAGTGGCGAGGAGACGAGAGACTGTGGGACTGGTAGCACGCACAAGGTCAGACTCAGGGTCAGGGACGTCAGGAAGAGAAGATTTAGGAGGCGGTAGAGGAACACGCAGTGGAACAGAGGAAGGACGAAGTGCCATAGGGTTCGTGCCGGGGACAGGAGGAGGACGCAAACAAGGAAAGCGACGAGCAGTGCGAACAGGCGAGACAGGACGAGACGCAGGTTCACGACGCTCTGTAAGACCGCCGGACTGCTCAGTGTAAGGAGAAGGAGCAGGCAGTAGGGAGGCTGGCTCTAACGGCAGCTGCAACTGGTCAGGCGGTGGACACAGTAGAGGAGGAGTAAGGCTAGTAGAAGACAGGACACCAAGAACCTGCTGAAGCAGGGGAACAAAGTACGGTCGCAGCCGCACAGTGCCTCCAGGGTCAACAGCTCCAGCTCCTCCAGCTCCAGCGCCTCCTGCGCCAGTGCCTCCAGCTCTAGCTCCTCCAGCTCCAGTGCCTCCCGCGCCAGTGCCTCCAGCTCCAGCTCCTCCAGCTCCAGCGTTACCAGTGCCTCCAGCTCCGACAGCTCCACTCTGAAGGCGTGCGCGCCGAACAAGCCACTCACGCAGCTGCTACGGAGAGAGAGTCTCCTGCCGCGGAGACAGTCTCGGCGAAGCACCAGCAGGACCTCTAGACGAAGCAGCACCCCGAGGCTCAGCACCCCCAGACCCCGCACCCTCCTACTCAGCACCCCCAGGCTCAACACCCTCAGGCTCAGCACCCCCAGGCTCCACACCCGCAGGCTCAGCACCCCCAGGCTCCGCACCCCCAGGCTCAGCACCCCCAGACCCAGCACCCTCAGACTCAGCGCCCCCAGGCTTCGCACCCCCAGACCCAGCACCCTCAGACTCAGCGCCCCCAGGCTCCACACCCCCAGACGCAGCACCTGAGTTGCCAGCTACCTCAACAGGCACAGTACCAAGGAGAGGGTCTACCTGAGACACACCTGAGGGAGCAGGACCCTGGGGCGGGAGGGGGTCTACCGGAGGGGGACCGGGAGCAAGGAAGAGCGGCGGGGGCGGGGGAGGGGCAGAGCGGTAGGGGAAGAGACGGTAAAAGGGAACCGACTCATCAAACGTGACGTCCTGAGAGGGGAAGACACGGCGCGAGGTGGGGTGGTAAAACTGCCAGCCATGCACGTCAGGGGGAAAGCCAAGGAAGATGCAGGGGATAG